ACTCTCACATTGTCCCCAGAGTTTGCTGACATGAACTAGTTGAGACATCCAGGTTGCTTCAGGGTCTGGGTTGCTTCGGGGGACCCTGTGTCCACCTTCCAAGCTACCAAGCTAGCCTGGAAATGACCTGGGTTCATCTGAACTCCAATCCACTCACTTATACAACTGTTTTATCCACGGAGTCATCTCCCCAACCTTCCAGGGAGTTCCCTAGGTGTCTGATATAGGCAAATAGCTAGCACCCGAGTGCATTCTCAGGGTGCCCAGAATATCAGTAGATCACATGGCACATGGAGGGAAATGAGGACGGCAGGAAGCACAGGCTGAGGTGTGCTGATGGGCGGGGCATCCTTGCCCTCTTATCATGGTCAGGGAAGATGTCACAAGACCATGTCATCCATCTCCACCCAGGCTATGAGACCAATCTAGACACTGTCAGGAACGTGAAGAAGGTGAAAGTCTCTGTGGAAGGATGGCAAGCACAAAGCCTAGTGGGCAAGCGGGCCCAGCGTGTCCTAGGAAGCAGCTCAGAGTGGCAGATGGGTGACATCAGAGAGGTGGCTGAGCTGGTATGAGGGTGGATAGATCCTTCGGGTACATCCTGGCCTTTGGAGGGACTTGAACTGTGTGTGTATGTGTGTGTCTGTCTGTGTGCCTGTATGTGTGTCTGTGTAGAGTGTGTGTCTCTCTGTGTGTATATGTGTGTCTGTGCGTGTGCATCTGTGTGTATGTGTGTATGCGTGTGCATCTGTGTATGTTTGTGTGCCTGTGTGTGTCTGTATGTGTGTGTCTGTGTGCCTGTATGTGTGTCTGTGTCTGTATAGAGTGTGTGTGTCTCTGTGTGTATATGTGTGTATGTGTGTGCATCTGTGTGTCTGTATGTGTATATGTGTGTCTGTGTAGAGTGTGTCTGTATGTGTGTGTGCACGCACCTGTGTCTGTGTAGAGTGTGTGGCGTGTATGTGTGTCTGTGTGTGTTCTATATGTGTGTCTGTGTAGAGTATGTGTTTGTCTGTGTGTGTGTATGTGTGTGTATGTGTGTCTGTGTGCCTGTATGTGTGTATGTGTGTGTGCATCTGTGTGTCTTTATATGTGTGTGTCAGTGTGCCTGTATGTGTGCATCTCTGTGTGTCTGTATGTGTGTGTCTGTCTTTTGTAGGTTCCTTGTTGTACACTGGGTAAGAGCTCTGCCACTGTCCCCAGCTTTCTTCACCGCTTGTTCTTTCCCCCTCAAGAAACTCTGTCTGATGTGGCTTAAGCTGGTGTTCCTGGCAGAAGCAATCCTCCCTGCCTCTCAGCCTCCCAAGTAGCTGAGTCTCCAACCCTGCCACCACACCTGGCAGAACTGGGACTCTTCCTCTGAGGAGGCTGGGAAGCCAGGGCAGCACTTTTTGGATTTTAGTAGACATGTCAGCTGCTGAGCCGAGAATAGCCTGAAACAGGAAGCCAGGTGGAGGGGATTAATAATCCAGGCCAGCGCGCATGATGGTTTGGACCCCAGGACTGAGGAGGAGAAAAGAGGCCTAGTCCTATCACAGTAGAATAGCAATGGATTCGGTCATTCCTGCATTGACTTCATTCATCTGGTGCCAAACACTGGCGACGTTAACATGTTTGTTGTATGAACCATGGTCTCATTGTGTAGCCCAGGCTGACCTGTAATTCCTGATCCTCCTGCTTCAGCTTCTTAAGTGCTGGGTTGCAGGCCTGTGCCCCCCATTCCCATCTTTGGAGGTGCAGGCTGGAGTGGGAACAGCTGAAGCTTGAGTGTATTCTTTCCCTCTGGGGTGCTGAGAATAACGGGCACAGATAACTGATGAGCAGCCAAGGCATGAGAGAGAGGATCAGTCCAGGAACTATTTCCCAGATGCTCCCCGAGGTTCCTAACATCTCCTGCCGTGCTGGCTAGCTCTCTGTCAACTTGACACATGCTAGTCACCAGTCAGGAAGGATTCTCAATGGAGAAAATGTCTCCTTAAGATGAACTACAGGCAAGCCTGGAGACATTTTCTTCATTAGTGATTGATGTGAGGCCCAGCCCATTATGGGCGGTGCCACCCCTAGTCTGGTGGTCCTGGGTTCTATAAGAAAGCAGGCTAAGAGAAACCCTGTCTTGAAAAACAAAAAACAAAACAAAAAAAAAAACCCAACCAAACAAATAAAAAACCAAGAAAGCAGGCTAAGCAAATTATGAGGAACAAGCCGGTAAGCAGCACTCCTCCATGGCTTCGACATCAGCTCCTACCTCCAGCTTCCTGCCCTGTTTGAGTTCCTGTCCTGACTTCCTTTGATAAGTTGTGATGTGGAAGTATAAGTCAAATAAACCCTTTTCTCTCCATGTGGCTTTGGTCCTGGTGTTCCAATGCAGCATAGTTACCCTGCCTAAAACACCTACCTTCCCTGTCACTCTGCTGTCCCACCACCAACTCGGAGGCTCACCTCCATGTCTCCAGGCTTGGATTGGCCTGTGGCTTTCAGGAACCTCTTCTCTGTCACCCCAGCTTATCTCTGGCCTTCGTCTCTGAACTCTGGTCACTTCTTTAGGCTGAGAATGTGTTCTCCCTCCTGAGGAAGAGACTGAGCTACGGTAGACTTGTCCTCCTGCCCCTTATCCTGCCTTAAACAAACAAACAAATAAAAGGCTGGGTCTTCTCTGTAGCCCAGGTTGGACTCAAACTTGAGACAATCTTCCCACACTGGGCTCTTAAGTGCTGGGATGATAGATATGGCCCCCATGCTTGGTCAGAGTCCTTTTTCAGCTGGTATTAAGCTCAGCATCCTAAGGCAGTAGAAATTTGTGTGGTCAAATATAGAAGAAAGACTTTAAACTAGACTGAGCTAGACTAGAAGGCGACTGGGCGGAGGTCCATGGAGGGAAGTGACTTGTTGTGGTCTCACAGCCCCTTTGTGGAGTTGCAAGTTCAAACCTGGCTCCCTAAACCACAGGTTTGTGGTTCTTTTTCTGTAACCAACTGTGGGTGGCTTAGGCCTCTTGTTTCATAGCTGCAACACAATCACCTTGAGTTAGACACAGAGTAGAACTGGCTGTTCGTTGGAATCTGTTTCTCTCAAGGCTTTGAGAAGAGACATCTTTCAGGACTCAGATTTATAGGTGTAGACTAGCTCAGAGTGCCTGGGAGCCTGATTCTGTACTCCTTCCTTCCTTCCTTGGACACAGACAAGTCAGAGTTCTCAGGCCAGCACATCTTCCTGGCAGTTGTGGACTCTTAATTTGGACTTGGCCATGGGAAAAGGTCAGCTTGGGGGCCAGTCTGGCTTTGGCCAAGTTCTCTAGTTACAGCCCAGGTGGCAGGCAGCCTGTTCGCCTCACCTGCCCCTGCAGCAGCAGCTTCCTCACATGGCCACTCCAGCCTCAGCTGACAGGGCAGGCCTCCGCTATGCCCTCTGGCTTAGATGTAGAGCAAAAAGGTAATAGGTTTCTTTACTTCAGTTTTCCCTTTCCCTCATCCGATGCTCTCCCTTCCTCCCTTCCTCCCTCCCTTCTTCCCTTCCTCCCTTCCTCCCTCCCTTTCTCCCTTTCTCCTTTTTTCAGACAGGGTTTCTCTGTACAGCCCTGGCTGTCCTGGAACTAGCTCTATAGACCAAGCTGTCCTTGAACTCACAGAGGTCCACCTGCCTCAGCCTCCCAAGTGCTGGGATTAAAGGTGTGCACCACCACCACCCAGCCATCTGATGTTCTCTGTTCTTTCCTTTTATCCTACCCAGTGGCCACGGTTCCACTGAGGTTCACATGCTCCCCAGGCCTGAACTCAACCCTCATCCTCAAACACAACTGTTTCCAGCATACACTGCTCCATTATGTGGACATATGTCCCCTAACCTAGGTGCTGAGTTCTGATAAGAGGACGGAGGCAGGAGAATCAAGGATGGACAGTTCCTATCCAGCCAGGGCTAGATAGCAATGCCTTTCCCCCAAAAAGCAAACAAATACACACATAAAGGAAAATAACAACTATAAAACGAGGCTGAGGATGTAGCTTAGGTGGCAGAGGGCTTCCCCAGCATACACAATGCTCTAGGCTTGGTTTCCAAGTCGCCTGGGTTTGTTTTTGTTTTTGTGAGGCCAGATTGGAACAAAGTCCTTGTACCTGCTACGCAAACCTCAGCACTAAACTACTTCTCCTGGGAGCTCTTTCTGTATGAAGAGGCAGGACTCCTCCCTGGCAGCTCTGAGAGTCTCAGTACGACACCTCCCATGGCCCTGGTTGCCCACTGGTGCTGGAAAATTGTCTGTATTCTGTCGCTCATGTTTCAAATAAACGCTGATTGGCCAGGCAGGAAGTGTAGGTTTGAAAACCAGACAGGAAATAGAAATGATGTAATGAGAACAGGAGATTCTGGGAAGGAGGAAGTTGATTCCTCCCACTCCTGCCCAGACCACCGAAGCAGCAGGATGTGATCTGCCCCACTGAAAAGAGGTACTGAGCCACATGGCTAACATAGATCAGAAAAATGGGTTAATCAAGATGTGAGTTAGCCAGTGAGAGGCTAGAGCTAATGGGCCAATCAGCTTATAATTTATGGAGACCTATGTGTGATTTTCTTTGGGGCTAAACAGTTGTGGGGTACTTGGCAGGATAAAAACCCCAACAACAAGTAGGCCCCATTCATGTTACAGCCCACCAACCATCTTTAAGGTCCTCCTTATTCCCAGAGGCAGCATAAACTTAATAGTCTCCTGGGCCAGGTACTCCTCACACAGAAAGCCCGGGAGGGGCCACAATGTTTAAGCAGCCACTGTGGGATGAGGAGGTTGGACAGAGTGGCAGTGGCCCGTGTGTCCTGAGTCTATTCTTGTCAAATCACCCATTTGTTCAGTAAGACTGATGTCTCCTCTCACTCCTGGGATGTCCCTGTGCTCAAAGAGGGCGGGAGAGAATGAACTGCAGAGCCTTCTTTCCAAGTCCCACCCAAGGTGGGCAGAGCGAGGAGCCCACTCTCAAATGCTCCTAACTGAGAGGTTGTGGGTGTCTCTGCAGGTCGGAATGAGCTGATTGCACGCTACATCAAGCTCCGCACAGGGAAGACCCGCACCAGGAAGCAGGTGAGGCCGGAAAGATCACCCCACCCACCACACCTACGCCCATGGGGGTAGAAGTGGCACCCTCTCATCTGGGTTCCTGGGTCCATCCCTTTTCTAGAGAGTCAAACTCCCTCTCCAGGGTAATAGGGGGAGAAGCACATTATGCCACCCCTGGGCAGCACTGCCGGGCTCACAGTGAACTGGGCCAGGCAGGAGTGAGCTCCCCACAAGGACTGAGGGTTGGGGAAGCATAAGCAGCCTGGAGGTAAGGACAGGAATTCTCTCTTTCTACAATAGGTCTCCAGCCACATCCAGGTGCTTGCCCGCCGAAAAGCCCGGGAGATCCAGGCCAAACTCAAGGTAAGGAAAACAGTGTCAGTAGAGAGGGAACCCTGGGACTTGGGGGCAGTGGGGCTTTCCAGAAGCTGGGACTCTTTTTCCAGTTGGGAAAGTCAACCCTGTGGGCTCAGGGGTTTCCGCTGTGCTGAGCCTATGTGCTTTTTGCCATTAAGGACAGTCAGGCCTAGCCTGTGGCCTCTCTGTAGATCTGTGTATATGTATATACAGGTGGTGGCCTCCTGCTGGGCCTGACCTGGGAATGAGTGTAGAAGGTCCACACTTAGCATCTCTGCTCCCTCTGTGTTCTCTGAGATGATACTTCCATCCCCTCCCCAGACCCCCTTCAGTGTAAGGTCAGTTGCATGTGGGTCCTCTTAGGAAGACAGTCCTCTGGACTCTGGGCCCAGGGCCTTCTGGGGAGCACTAGGAGGGAGTGAATGCTCCATCAGGGAGTTAGTTCTTAATCACTTGGCCTGCCTGGCCACTTGGGAGGAAGGCCTAACGCTTGGATTAGACCAGCAAATACATTGTTGTTGAAGCAATGAGACACTTCGTTTTAATTTTCTCAAACAAAATCTCAGTTCAATATGCCTTCCAGTGGGTCATTCTGGTTGTAGCCAGTTTGGCAAAGAGTAGGCCATAACTCCCCCAGTTAGCACCTCAACTCCTGAGCAGTCTCTCATACCTAAGGAAGAACTCTGTACTGCCTTAGAGCCCAGTTTAAAAGCTACAGGGCTGGATCACCTCACACTGTCCTGTACATCACCTCTTCTTTTGGAGGTGGGTGGTAGTGGTGGTTTTAAGACAGGGTTTCTCTGTGTAGCCCTGGCTGTCCTAGAACTCACTCTGTAGCCCATGCTAGCCTCAGACTCAGACATCCACCTGCCTCTGCCTCTTGAGTGCTGGGATTAAAGGTGTGTACCACCACCATCAGACCTGTCTATTACCTCTTACATGGTGTGGCCCAGAGGTAGAACCACAGACCTTTGCCTCCTAAGAAGCCACACCCACTGTTCTTCCTGCCCTCAGCCCAGCTGCCCTCCACACCCTGAAGCTGTGGCTCAGCACCCCATCCTTTGTTCCCAGGACAGCTGGCCTGCCTGCAGCTGTGGTTCCCCCCGGAACACCCCCAACCCTAAAGACCCACTGACTTTTCATGTCCCCTCTCTGGTCTGCCTCTGACTCACTGAGATCCCAGAGGTGACAGCAAGGACCGAATAGCCATGTTATGTCTAGGGAACTGTTCTATTCCTTGGGATGTCTCTACCGTCCATATTTGCTTCATGGAATCACATGTCTGTTTGTAACTTGAGACTTGAGGACAAGTGAGCCTCCAGTCAGGCATCAAGAGAAGCCACGAACTTCTTAAAGTTCTTAAAGTCATGTATTTCCATCTCAGAAGCTGGTCTGAGGACTCTGTCCTGCTTTTGAGGCTTCTGGGATGGATGGTAGGGTGGGCAGAAATCTTTGGGCTTGTTGTACCCCATCTCTGTTTCATGGTCATGTCCTGCACCCTTCGTGAGCCCCGTTCTGTATTCTCATCTACAAAATGACAGGGTGTTGTGGTAAGGTCCCCTTCAACTGGAAAACACCCAACTCCTGACCCTGCTGTCTGGCCATTTGATGTCATCCTTACAATGTCCTTTCCCCTTTCTCCCGGCTCACATATTGAGGATGTGGTTTCCTGAGCCCTGTCATTTGTTTAGATTAAGGATACAGGAAGGGACACATGTTGTTGGCATGGAACGGATGGAGCTCTCTGGATGCGGTTGTTAATCTCAGCAGCCGTGAGGATGTGGTCTGCCTGAGAGGGCTGGCCTGGAATGTCTTTTCCTCCTGAAAGTACATGACTTCAGAGTTGGCCTTTGAGAACAAGGCCCTTGTTTAACCGCAGAAGGACAGGGGGTGAGGGTGCCAGTGACAAGTTTCACCCACTCCCTGCTGATGGGGACCATAATATGGCTTCCATGTCCTGCATTGTTGAGTACTGGCTGTTGGCACATCCTAACGCTTTCACACTGCCCGTTTGGCTGGCATGACCCTCTCTGTACCAGCCTGCTGTGTCTTAGTCATTTTTACTGTGATGATGGAAAAATTCCTCAGACTGAGTAGTTATTTATAAAAAAAAAAAACTAGTCATGATTGTATGTGCCTGTGGTCTCATCTGGAGGCTGAGGCAGGAAGATCACTCATCCCATGTGTCTGAGAACAGCCTATATGGCAACCTCTGTCTTTAAAAAGAGGGGAGCTGGGCACGATGGCACCTGTGTACAATCTCAGTTACTTGGGAGGATCCAAGATCAAGGCCAGCCTGAGCATTCCAGTGAGACCCTATCTCAAAATTTTAAACAAAAAGAGGTTGGTGCTATAGTTCAGGGGTAGGGTTCTGTAGTGTGTGTAAGGTCCCGAGTTCAAGCCTCAGTACCCTGAAGACAAGAGCTAGGGGCTGTGAAGAGAGCTACTGCTGTGGTAGAGTGGGTGCCTAGCATGTGCAAAGGTCCTAGGCCCAGACTCTGTACAGAAAGAAAAATAAAAGAGAGAAGTTTAACGAATAGATGCTGATGGGACTGGAGAGATGGACCAGTGGTTAATTGCTGTGATTACCATAGTAAGTAGCTCATAACCATCTGTAACTCTTCTTGCTTCTGTAGGCACCAGGCATGTGCATACTGCAATACATACATCATACATGCAGGCAAAACACTTACACACATGAAACAAATAATGAATTAATAGAAAAAATAATAAATGCTTCTGCAGCCCACAGTCTGAAGACACGGCTGTAGCATCTATCCAGTATCTGTGAGGGCCTTCTTGGGGAATTAAAACATGGGGAAGGGTACCACCACCCAGAGAAGAAGCTAGCACAAGTCAGTCTTCCTTTTCTTGTAGACCACGAACACCATCATGGGGGCTCATGCTTGTGACTTACTTACCTTCCACAGGTTTCATCTCCAAATAGCCATCAACCTGTGAGCTTAGGGGAACACTTCTGAGCCACAGCATGGACCACTGCCTTAAGGCCAAATTCTCTGAGCCCCAGATCTTCACCTTCTAAGAGGGATCCTCCTGAGCCTCTGCCCTCCTAGGGGTCAAAGTGCACTAGCATTTCTCAGGATCCCCTGTGCGATGTCTCAGACCACACCTATTTCCAGACTGCTCCTGAGTGGCTTCTGGTTAGACACACCTCTCAAGCCTCAGGACCACACTGCATCCTGCCTCAGAGTTGCTGTGTGGACTTAGGGAGATTGCCCTGTAGACTTTTAAGCTACCGAGGTAGCTGCCAGTCTTAATTTTTGTCTTACCCAAGGCTGACTTGGTTCTACCACATTCTCGTTTACTGTGAAATACTGACTCACTAGTCTTCATTTTATAACGATTGTAACTGGGCTGTGGGTTCAATGGTAGAGCACATGCTTGAAGCTTGGGGTTCCATCCCCAGCCCTAAAAAAAGGCAGGAGAGAGAGGGAGGGAGAAAGGGAGGGAGGGAGAGAGGGCAGCCAGACAGTCAGTCTGGCATAGTTTCTAGTCAGTTTTAGGCTTCCACAACAGATGAGGAAACTTAAGAGAGAAGCTGAGCCCCCTGCTCAGTCACCAGCACGTTAGTACATCACAAACTCAAATCTGGTCCCCAGCTCTGGCTACCTGCACTGGACAGCTTTTCTGACCCCAAGGCCAGATCACTCTCCCTTGAGCCTGCCTGGCGGCCCTGCTAAGGTCCTCCCTTCCCATGTCTTCCCAGGACCAGGCAGCTAAGAACAAGGCCCTGCAGAGCATGGCTGCCATGTCGTCCGCACAGATCGTCTCCGCCACAGCCTTCCACAATAAAATGGCTCTTGCCCGGGGCCCTGGCTACCCAGCAATCTCAGGGGTAAGTGGGGCAACCCAGAGCAAGAGGCCATCAAAGCTCTCCTCACACTGTCTCTTCTTCAGAGCTGGGCACAGTGGCCAGTCTCAGTCCCTCTCTTCTGGGCCCTCCCAGAGCTCATTCTAAACCAGGGCTGTTGCTGGAACCACTGTTTGAGGTCCATAACAATACAGCAGACTTTAAAGAGATGCAAGAGGCTGCTCTCATTAGCTGGCCAGGTGGCCAGAAGTCCAGCGACTGGAGCCGAATCCTGAGGCTTTGACTAGACTATTCGGTCCTCAAATAGCCACCATTCACCCTTGACCCTGCTCCTCCTGCTCAGCATCCCAGCAAAGCCCACCTTCTGTGTAGAGAGCTGCTGTCTAGGGACAAACCTGTGCTCAGATTTTGATTTTGTCAGCCTGACGAACAGTCTCAACCCTGTCCGCATGGCCACACTTTTGGAATGTTCCAGAAACGGTCCTCCTTCCGAAGTTTGTCATATAACCTCTTTAAGATGCCCGACTTGCACTGTCCTCGCTGGTGGGGAAGGGACATGTCTTGAATTCCACAGCCCTTTCCGCCGTCCTATTTCATAGGGAGTCAGAGGGCACTAGTTGGGATGTTAGTTAGGTTGGACGTAAAATGATAGTGTAGACACTTGGATTGTATCATTTTTGGTATTCAAGGTGGGAGCCATGTACCTTATGCAAGCTAAGCACACGCTCTACCACTAAGCCCCTGGGTAGATTTCTTGACTTTAGGACCTCAGAACCTTACCTGTTGAAGAATCCTGTGAGTCTCGATGGGAGGGAGAAAGTACTGGGTCAGCAAGCTTGGCTTTCCCCAGGGAGCACAGGGGAACACAAAGCCTGGCTTTCTCTGGGGATCACAGGGGAACACTCCTTGGTGTGGCTGGGGCCATTTACCATCAAAACTTGGCTTTCTCCCGGAGCACAGGGAAACACACCTTGTTGTAGCTGCTGCCTGTAGCGTCAGCCAGTTAAACAGAGGCATTGGCTTCCTTCCTTCCTCCTTTTACACCCAGAGGCCTGCACGGTCTCTCTCCCTTACAGGCTCTTCTCACAATCCTCGTGGGCTTCTGTGCACAGCACAGCCAAGCTGAGACTATACCTTTTGCCTCCACAGTTTTGGCAAGGAGCTTTGCCAGGCCAACCTGGAACATCCCACGAGTGAGTATGGTTTGATTTCCTACCCCTCACTCCCGGAACTGAATTCGAACCTAGAATTTTAGGAAACGGAGCCTGGCTTTGGGAGGTGGAACAGCGGGAGGCCGGCTACACTGCCAGATCGGCCTTGACTTTAGGAATAAGGTTTTGCTCCCAGATGTCACTTGCTTAGTCTGCAATGTCCATACTCTGCAATGCCTTTTATTGAAGTGTTCATCTGGACAGGGTAAAGGAAGGGCTCTAAAGCTGATACCCAAAGAGACATCTGCTTGGCCTGGGAGAGGATGTGAGGTGGATTGCCCCAACAGACATGTTGCTTCCATGACTCAAAACCAAAACCTGAGGGAATTGGCAGGGAGGAGGCTGGAAGCCAATGCCTGCTGGGGCCACCAGTGGCCAAACCTACCCTGCAGCTCTTCCCAGTGGCTGATGCCTTCTCTCTCCTTTCTCCCACAGTGTGAAACCTTTCTCTCAAAACGCTTATACTGTCCAGCCTCCGCTGCCTCTGCCAGGTAGGTAGCTGGTAAATGATCTGCTTATGTGTCCCGCTCAGTGGCTCTGAGCACCTGGGTCCTGTGAGATGTCGTGATATCATGTTTCTCTATTTCTTTCCTCTAGTCAGCATGCTGCAGCTCTGCTTCACAGGTGCCATGGCATTCTGGGGCAATGCCAGGTGCCTTCTTGCCAGTTGTGCCCAGGGCTGGCTGGGACACAAAACTGGAAGGGAGTGCCTATGTCCCCAGGCCACTCTTATAGGATGTATATGCTGGCTCTTCAGGCTTCCCCCTTGGAGAGCTGCCTACTGCCTCTTAGCTGGGAGCCGAGGGACACTGCAAGTCTGATCCCTCCCTAGCACAGGAGACCCTGATGGCTGGAAAGTGCTGTTGGGCAGTGTGACAGAAGCAGCTTGCTGGTCTGGGCCCTCCCTCAGGCCTCAGTGGACCAATTCTGACAATCTCTCAAGAGGCTCCCTCAGCAAGGGAGCCTCAGACCCTTCCACACTGCAGCCCAGGTCAAACTTTCAACCTTGCGTGGAGAGTGACCAGCTGTGACGTTCTGGTTGTGGGGTCTCAGGCTCTCCTGCCACACCTGGTGTCTGCTCACTGCTTTCTTCACCCCATTGGGAGCATCACTGAGTTGGGTCCAGTCCTCATGTCCTGTCTTCTTTTCTCTTCTTGTCCCTCTGTCCATGTTGATTCAGTCTGTACTCAGATTCTCCTAGTTGTTGCCTGAAATACCGCAGTTGCTTCTTACCTGGCTCCCTGAGATTCTCAAAGCATCTCCCTCACCATGTTATTTCCAGGCTTGAAATGCTCCCTGGCCTCGTGGTGCCCTCATGATGCGATCTGAGCCCTGCAGCAGATCTGCAGGGCTCCTGAGACTCAGCTCCTGTGTTCCCTGGTCCTGTCCGCTGTGCTCCCTACTCTGCCTCTGGATAGTAGCTAGATTGCTCCTCTTGGGCCATGGTTCCTCCTACCTGGCCCTCCCAGGTTAGGTGCCCTCTGTTTGTCCACCCAGAGCTCAGCAGACCTCTGTCCAGCAGGGATGTTCTTCACTGCTATGTCTGTGTCCCTGCAGCTGGTATCTGCATATCCTTGTGAGTTTCCTTCTCTGTGTATACAGTAGTTCCCAGGTGCACTGGGGCTGCAGTAAGGAAGGGAAGAAAGATTTGGCGGCTGCACTAAGCATGAGCTGGTGTGTTCAGCACGGCTGGCCGCTCTTCTGGACCGTTCTTTCTTTTCTTGTTGCCTGAGTTCACTGCTTCTGCTCAGGGTACTAGTGTCCACCAGGTTTCCAGAAAACATGATTCATGAAGACCTTGCCTCTAATGTGGCCCCCTCTGTCCTACCCTTCTTCCACAATGAAGAAGGAATAAAAAGCTGTCAAACTCAGTGGTAAAGAGCCTGCTTAGAGTACTGTCATCATCAAAACCACAGTTCTCATCTTAAATGGAATAAGAGTTAGTTTATTCTGAGCCAGGCGGTGGTGGCGCACGCCTTTAATCCCAGCACTCGGGAGGCAGAGGCAGGCGGATCTCTGTGAGTCCGAGACCAGCCTGGTCTACAAGAGCTAGTTCCAGGACAGGCTCCAAAGCTGCAGAGAAACCCTGTCTCGAAAATCCATAAATAAATGGGAGAGAGAGAGACAGAGAGAAATAGAGAAAGAGAGAGAGAGAGATTTTGTGTGTGTGTGTGTGTGTGTGTGTGTGTGTGTGTTAGTTTATTCTTGAGCATTGTGAGTGACACTGGCCTGGGAACACAGATTTAGGTTACCTCAAATTCTGTGTTTTTCTGTAGAAATGATTTCACAGGGTTTTCATAGTTTTACTGAACAAAAAGAGTCTTAAATCAAGGCAACATTAAAATAAGCTGGTGGGTGCACCAGAGCAGGCACAGCGAGATGGGAGAGCTCTTCTATAGGTCCAGGATGCTGTGTGATGACATTCCTAGCTCTTGGATTGGCAGATGCTCGTGTTCTGCTGAGCTAATAGCTTCTAAGAGGTTTCTGTTTATTATCCGAGGTGTTAGTTCAGCTACAGAGCGAGTCAAGGCATGGCTGTCCCAGAAGGCTCACTCTAGCCAAGATAAAGTAATTAGCCTCTGAACCTATACATTTCCGGTCTCCACAGTACTGAAATTCCAATCGGTCCATCAGTCTCTGCAGACCCAGAAGTTTCTGTTCATAGCCAGACACAGCTTCTTTTCAGGAATTTTCATTCACATTCCTTGCTCCAGGCAGGGTTCCATCTCCAGTAGTACCAGGAAAAAAAAAAAAAAAAGATTGCAAAGCTGACAGCTTCCCAGTCCCATTTAATTCAACCACTGACTTGCCTTAATTCAGGAATAGAATCCACCCTGTTAGTTTGCCTCGCAGGCTGACTACAGAGCCTCATTTCCAACCACCAGTTCATACCTGCTCATCAGTGAAGTTGAGGCTTTCCAGATTCCCTCAGCTGGTTCCCAGCCCCCTTGTCCCCTGCCCCCACCCCCATCCCCCACTTACCTTTGATGCTTCCCAATTTGGGGTACCCGTTCCCCATCTTCACTAAGAACTTGTCACTTAAACTTTAGTTTTCCTTTAGCCTCACCTTGGTTAGCCTCAGGGGTACCAAGAAGTCTTCTCTGGTGCCAGGGGCACGCTCTTATCTGTGCTGGTCTAGGCCTGTGTTAGAACCCTATTCATAGGTGGTGTACTATGGGTTTAAGGCAACCGTGGGCCCTCCAGGAAGCTTCCTGCTCCCTGAGCCTCGATTATTGTGCTGGTTGGTTCAGCTGGCTCTCTTCCTGCCTGGACTAGAAATTGCCCCAGGGCGATAGTCCTGCAGTGCCTGCTCTGGCAGCTTTCCAAGCAACCTGGGCTGTGCAGAATCCATCTGCCCCAAGCAAGGGCCTGTGCAGAAGCCTGGGATCACTGAGCCAGATCATTCACAGGCTCTGTCCTGCCGCCGGGCACACTTCACTGGTTTTCTCCAGTCCTCACTGAGGACATCCGCAAGGAGGACAAGTAGGGGCAGGTTCCACATGTCTCTCTCCCTTCACACAGGCTTTGAGTCTCCTGCAGGACCCACCCCGTCGCCCTCAGCACTGCCAGCTTCCCCATGGCAAGGCCGCAGTGTGGCCAGTTCCAAGCTCTGGATGTTGGAGTTCTCTGCTTTCCTGGAGCGCCAGCAAGATCCTGACACAGTATGTCTCCCATGTCCAACTGTCTTATTCCAAGAGAGACCATCCCAATCTCAGAGGCTCTGCCACTGCTGTAGGTCCCTTATCTTGAAGGACCAGAATAGGTCCCAATCCCACAGGCCCTGTCCTCAAAGTAGGCCTCAAATCTTGGGAAGCTTGCTGTTCCAAATAAATGGGTTCCCACCCCTGGAAATCCTGCCTCCATAGTAGCTCGTCAGGCTCAGAGGTCTAACCTTCTACCATGCCTCTCCACACCTTATCCTCTCTTGCTTTCTTTCCTTTCTTCCCCTTCTCCCATCAGGGTTTAATAGATTCCTTGTTCTTTCTTCTCCCCTTGCCCGCCTGCCTCCTCCTCCTTTGATCTGTTCTTTTCTTTGCTCTCTGCAGGTCTCCCACCTCAACCCTTCTTGACTTCCTTTCTCCCTCTCAGCTCTCTCAGGCCTCTCCCCTGTCTCTTATCTCTCCTCTTAGTCTAGTGTCCTTTCCCCCCCAACCTGCCCCTCCCCCAGCCCTCGGTGCCTTGGCTCTGAGGGGTGCTCAGGAAGCTGAGGAGTCTGTGGTGTGTAATCCACATCCTCTGGGAAGCAAGCCTAGTGCAGCAGGTTGCCCCTGACCCATCTTGTCTCCCTTTTTCCACTGAGGAAACTGAGGCCTAGAGAGAGGCAAAGCGATTTGCCCCAGGTCCTAAGTGAGGCAGGTGGTCCAGCTGTCTCTCTACCCTACACTTGGCATCACGCTCAGGCCGATTGTTCTTCTGCCTACAGTACAGCAAGCACCTGTTTGTGCACATCAGCCAGTCGAGCCCAAGCTACAGTGACCCCTACCTCGAAGCCGTGGACATCCGCCAGATCTATGACAAATTCCCAGAGAAGAAGGGGGGCCTCAAGGAGCTATTTGAACGGGGGCCCTCGAACGCCTTCTTCCTTGTGAAGTTCTGGGTAAGTCCTGGGCCTCTTCTTCCTTCCCTCAGCGCACTGAGATGGTGGAGAAGCTGGAAGGAAAGGAGGACATCACGCTGTGGAGGAGGTGAGGACACGGGGTGGCAGGGAACACACACCAGAGACCACTGCTGGTGGGAGCCGAGTGCCAGAACGTAGCAGTGAGAGCATAGAGCCATAGAGCAGCGGGGGATGATTGATGGGAGACCTGTGTTTCGTTTATTCCTCCCTCTGTCTACTCTCCTGTCTTCTTTCCCTTTCTCTCTGTGCTGGCGATACACAGCATGGCCTACAGCATGGCCTGCAGCATACTGTGGTAGAACCTTCCTGAATCCCACCTAACCCAAGAGGCTTTTTGTCTGATGGTGACTGTGGCAGCGTCCTGATCAGGAACTGGGGTCTTAAGGAGGTGGTCGTGTTGGGGGGAAACCTGAGGGATGGGAGGAGAGTCCACATGGAGCTGTTGGTTCTGGGTCTGACGCTGGCCCCCATCTGATTTTCCAGCTGTGAATTTGCTTGGGCTCTGCAGAGGTTTGAAAAGAGGAGTGTAACTAAGGATGGCAGCTGCCATAGCCCAGGCCACCCAAAAGGAAACACCCATGTCTGTCTCCAAGGGTCCTGTCTACAGACTTGACCTCTGCCGCCGTCCTCAGTGAATGTTGGGTGCCTAGAGCCAATTCATAAGGCGCTATCCTCTGAGATTAGGAGGTACAGGGCTTCCCTCACAGCTTCTTTCCAGGGCCTAGGACACCCAGAAGGGACATAGGGGAGACCAGGCCGATGGATGATAAGGGTGGAACGTTCTTCATGCATCTGACTGGACTTCAGACATGGTACTTTTTCTATATCTTCTTCCAGGCCTGGGAAGCCAAGGCTGAAGTCTTCCTGCTCCCTCTGGCTTCCGCTAACCCCAGAGGACCACCTGCGTGTTTTTCTTTCATTTATTTAGTTAGCAATGCTGGAGTACCCTCCACTTAGCTGATTGTTTTTTGATTTCGTAGTACTGGGGTTGGAGCCCTAGGACCTCAGCTTTGTTTTGTTTTGTTTTTCGAGACAGGGTTTCTCTGTGGCTTTGGAGCCTGTCCTGGAACTAGCTCTGTAGACCAGGCTGGTCTCGAACTCACAGAGATCGCTTGCCTCTGCCTCCCGAATGCTGGGATTAAAGGTGTGAGCCACCATCTCCCGGCTAAGACCTCAGCTTTGGCTGATGAATGTTCTACCATCGAGCCGCACCCCAGTCCCACAGTGCCTCTCTTTCTATCTTCACCAAGATTGTCTCAGCCTATTTTGCTCCCAAGCCTCTTGGTAATCTGGAAGCTTCTTGTTCTGGAAAGAGAATGTTGACAGTAAACGTGTACACAGTATTCCAGCTGGCTTACAGGCCCTACCTAGGAATGCCTACCCAGCCCTGCTCTCCCTTCCTGAGTTCCTGGCTCTCTGCAGAAGATCCGTTGACTTTAAATAAGTGTGTTCATAGTGATGTTATTAATTTTAATGATTCCTTTTTATTTTTATAGTTTTGTGTTCATTAGTGTTTTGCCTACATGTATGTCAGGTATCAGATTCACTGAAACTGAAATGACAGACAGTTGTGAGCTGCCACGTGGGTGCTGGGAGTTAAACCAGGGTCTTCTGAAAGAGCAGTCAGTGTTCTTAACCTCTGAGCCATCTCTCCAGACTCCAAGAGTCTTTAATAATGAAAAATATCCGATTCTTGTGTTAATGTCTTCCTGAGTCCCAGACTGGTAAATTGTAACTTTCTTTTAGTTTTTTTTAAGATTATTTACTTATTTTTCCAGGTATATTGCATATATGAGCGCTCTATCTGCATATACACCTGCATGCCAGAAAGAGGGCACTGGATTCTATTATAGATGGTCATGAGCCACCATGTTGTTGTGGGGAATTGAACTCAGGACCTCTGGAAGAGCCGCCAGTGTTTTTAACTGCTGAGCCCTCTCTCCAGCTCCTAGGCTTCTTTTAGATTTTATATCCTGTGTTAGTAAACATTTAGGTTGCTGTATCTTAATTGTCATAACTAATGCATTCTAAAATAAAAACCATCCATGTTATATCGCTTTCCCTTCACCTCAGTCTACCCACATGGAATGAGTCAGCCATGTAGTGTTTGAATTTTGTTTGACAATGTAGATTGGTCACCAACGAGACAAAGATTGTATTATGACTACATTTCCTTTATTATGTACCTTTTCTTTTCCCTGTAAGTGGATTTCTGTATATAAATTGAATATTTTTAGATGACGTTATTCTTAAATTTTACATATTGCTCCATAAGACACCACATGAAACACGGAGGAAATGGTCTTTTCGAATACTTCTAGCTGTTATCTGTAGCATGAATTCTACTTGTTCTCAATAAAAACCCGGAGTCAGATATCGGGGGTGAAAGCTGAAAGATCAGAGAAGCAGAGCAGCCAGCCCCTAGAGAGACCTTTTACCTCTACCATTGCTCAGACCAAAGGGGTGAGCCTGTCCTCAGACCGCATCCTCTGACTGACTGCTTCAGACTGCATCTCCAGAGTGCACTGAGCCCCTGTCTCCTCCTGTTCCTCTCTCTGCCCAGCCATATCCCTTCCTGCCTCCCTTTGTGTGAGCTCTGTTTCTCTTTTAGACAGATTCATTCTTGTGTAGCCCAGGGTGGCCTTGAATTCACAGAGTCCTGGGATTAAAGGCGTGTGCCATCAGTCCCTGCCCTGTTTGTCTTAGCTCTGCACTCTGATCTTTAGACAAGTTTTATTTGTTTAGATACAAACAACAGTTATCTTATTAGTCCCTTCTTCCTCTTGGAGATCTTTTTCCTGGGAGCCTCAATTCCCTGCTTCTGAGTGAAACGGTAATTACAGTAGTTGTCAGCCTGAGCTGGGATCCCTTATTGGCGTACCGGACTCATTTGTTTGGAACACATGCTAAAGAAAGATCCAAGAAAAATAACCACAAGGCCTATGTCTTCAGGTTTCTGTTACTTTTATAATCACCATGGCCAAAAGCAATTTGGGAAAGAAGGAGTTTATTTCTTCTTAGGGCTTGTAGTCCTTCATCTGGGGAAGCCTAGGTCAGGAACTCAGCAACTGTTGCAGAGGCCTTGGAGGAGTGCTGTACTGTTCGCCCAGCCTGCCTTCCTATGGCATTTAGGCCTCAAGTCGAGGGATGGTGTTCCCTGCAGTGGGCTGGGCCCTCCACATCAGTCAACAATGCACTACAGGTTTGGCTACAGTCCAGTCTTACGGAATTTTCTCAGCTGAGGTTCTCTCTTACCAAATGACTCTAGCTCGCGGTAAGTGGACACAAAACTGGCCAGCATAGGCTATAAATGCCTCTAACTGTTTGAAGTGTGTATGGGGGGGATAGGGGGAGAGGCGCTTATGTAGATCAAAGACTATTTTCTCTGTTTTTTGCTTGGTGCTAGGTATTGAATGCATGAGTTTTGCATGTTAGAGGAGTACTTTATGGCCAAACACACACATTCATGGAGACAGGGTCTTGGTGTATAGCTCAGACTGATCTAGACCTCAGGGTCTTTCTATCTCAACTTCCTGAGTTCTGGGGTTCCAAGTGTCCACCGCTACACCTGAAGTAAGTACAGCAGTCATCTGTAAATACATTGCACCCCTGTCTTCCGGTGTGTGTTTCTGAGCCATTCTGCTTTATGAATTATATGACCTGCTTTTTTTATTCTCTGGTTTTCATAGTTCCTCGATTTCTGTGTTCTTTCATTTCACCTTGATGATCTCTGGGTAATATTGTCTTACTTCTCTTCTTCAGCTTTGTAATTGGTAGACATAACCATCAGATTAGAATCTTCCTATTTGTGAACATTTCCGTCTGTTATTCCTTTGACCATGTCTTTCACTCTTATTTTCCTGAGTCCCCAATACTACCCTACTCCCTGACTCTGTGCTTTTTGCTTTTTGGGGGTGGGGGTGGGGCAGGGGAGTTGAAACTGAATCTCACTGTATAGCCTAGGCTATCCCGGAAATCATTATATAACTCAGGCTGTCCTCCAACTTGTAGTGGTCCTCCCAGGAGCCTGAGTCATCCATTGCTGGTGTGAGTCATCAGTGTATTTGTGTGTTGCGTGTCTCTTGTTGGCCTGGAGATCACTGATTAGGCTGAAGAGCCCCAGGGATCCACCTGCCTCTCCCTCCCTAGAGCTGGGATGATAATGAAGCCTGGAGCCTGGCTTTTTCTGTGTGGGTTCTGAATTGGGGCTCTCAAGGCAAGCCCCTCCAGTGTCATTTTTATATTTTCCAGTTTATTTGTTTGGTCTCTTTTTCTAGAGACTTCCTTATTTTATCTTCTAGTTTCTGGATTAGTTCAGTGTTATATCTAAGGGCAAATTATCCAAAACCCAAAGCATCAGTGCATAAGTCAAGTTTTTCATTCGTATAGAGGAAGCCTGGGGTAGAGCCTCCAGGGATGGTCTTGACTGCTCTGTAATATCCCCGTAGACTGAGTCCTCTCTCCTCGTCACCCTCAGTGGACGGCATCTGTCCTCAAGGTTATGGCCACTGGAATTCCAGCCATCCTCTCCACATAGCAAGCATTAGGAAAGAACTCTTTGCTTGCTGTGGGGTCCTTTCGAAAGTGCCGTCCGGTGTGTATTTATTGGTGTGGCTGCACCTTGCCCGGATGAACCAGGGAAGTGCGAGCTCAGCGGCTTTGCTGTGGGCTTCAGTCAGCATCGCTGTGGTATACGGGCAGCCTCTAATTTCTGACATGTTTAGGGGGATCCTGGGTTCCCCTCCAGAGTGAGGTGACTAGTGACTCTCTCAGCAGCGGCCCAGCTCCCCTTGGGATGTGACTGGAGTCAGAAGGGAGGCTCAGCTGGCAGTGGTACGGTGTGTTTAACAGCGTACTGCCTCGGAGGACTAGACATCCAGTGCCTTCCTCACTGACTGGTAGTTCCCTTTTATTATTTATTTTTTTAAGTTCTGGGTATAGGGAGCCCAGGGCCCTGCATGTGCAAGGCGATCCCTGTA